GTTTCTCTCTTGGTTTGCTTGCAGATATTTCTTTACTCCGATTGATATCATCATCAGTGCTGGTGAGTGTGGGGTTTGCTCCCACTCCCACTCTGCCAGTATATGTGGAGTATAATTTTCTCCTGGGTAATTCCTTGATTACGGTATTGCTTTCTGCTTGATTGTTTATCTGTCTAGTATAATCCCATCTTATCTGTGTGTTTATGTAGAAAAGAATGTACTCTGGACTTTTTGTTTCCTTAGTTTTTGTTGCCTCTTCTGAACAATGTGTAAGTATCATTTATTTCTATGTGTTAAAAGATGACTAATTTGTCTGAATGTCAAGATTCCAGGAATTCCTTGGTATTTTGGGATTTACCTTGGTGTAGGATGTTCAGTTTCCCATCTAAAATTGTGGTTGAGTATGGCATGTGCTCTGAGATGATGGAGTTTTCACTGTATATTCTGGCAGCTAGTTGGTATTCGTGGATGGGCTCTGCTAATTTTCTGCCTATCTGCCCTACATAGTGGCTGATACAGTTCTACACTGTATGTTGTATATGGGACAATAAAGTCCCCTTTTCTGGGATTATTGGGACTTTGGTCTTAATGAAATTCTTTACAATCACCATGCATCCTATTATTTTACCTGGAAATTGTTTTACCTAATTATTAAATTAGAAATAAAACTTTATTTCTTGTTGAAGAACACTGGTGTAGTATAGATAGAGACAGGGAGAAATATTTTCAAGTTGTGTTTTAATGTGAACCAACTTAATTTGTTCCCACAGAATTACTCTGTCCTCTGGATCACAATCTCAAGCTTCCTCCTTCCGTTATATATTCAAGATGGGCAATATTTAATATTTATTGCTACATATATGTAGGGATGTGGGTCTATACATATGTTGTTCATAGTATGTTTAGGTGTGTGTTTCATTTTGAGAGCAGGCAACTAAATTTCATTTTTGATGTATGCTATTGTGCCCACAGTATAAAAATGACAATAAAGGTTATCTTATCTTATTTTATCTATTTATTCAGCACTCCTCCAAACCCTGTAACACAATTATCTGATGAAAAAAAATGCTTCAGAGATGGATGTCATGGAAAATTGCATTAAAAGTGACTACATTAGGGAAAATAGAATATACACAGAATGATTACAGCAGCAGCAACAATAATGATGATGATGGTGTATTAGCATGCTAATCTAGACCTAGCTTTTTTCTTAAAAAACAAAATACTTGATCTGTTGCTGGAATGATCCCATTCATGCTGGAATAAAGCCCATGAAAATCTGTCAAAGAAATGCTTTAATAACACATATGTCACTGTGTAATCCATTTATTGCTTAAATAAATACGGGTTGGTTTCTAGGCAGTTGCTAGGAAATATTATTCCTGGGACTAAGTGCACCATTTCCATTGAGATATTCATTTATGAAACACTATTGCCCCCTGGCTGTGAAAAGTGGACAATGCATACAAATCAAATACTTTTGCATTGATTTACTTTCTTTCCTGTTCTTTAAAAATACAATTGTTTCAAGCACAGTTCAGGTATTACTTATTCTGTTGTCACAGGGAATATGCACGTTTCCCCAGAATTTGTGACAAATCAAACGTGATTCTTGATTTTTTTAAAAAAAGATTTTTTTAAAAAAATAAAACAAATAAATAGAATTTAAATAATTTTCTTTAAAAGCTAAAAAACAGCATAAAACTCTGTTCTGGGTGATTTCCAATTTGTGCTGATATAAGAAAAAGAAGCTAGTGTGAGAAACATGGCAAGACTGAATGCCTTTGGGTCCATGGAGCTTCAAGTTCCGGGACTTGAACTACCTTAATTATGGATGGGGTTATACTATGCCAGACTGATCCGGTCCACAACTTTGGGGTTCTCCTGGACTTGCGACTCCGGCTGAAAAAGCAAGCAGCAGTTGGGCTAGGAGAATCTTTGTACAACTTTGTGTTGTGTATCAGTTGTGGTCTTTCTGGGATCAGGAGTCACTGTGCTCAGTCATTCAAGCCCTGGTAGTCTCACTTTTAGACTACTGCAATGTACTCTACAAGGGGCTACTCTTGAAGAACATTCAGAAGTTTCAGCTGTGCAAAATGTAGCAGCGCAGGCAGCCCGATGGTGCCAATGTTACACCTCTACTTTAGCAGGCGGTTTGCTTCCAGATACAATTCATAGTGTAAAACCCAGCATGGCGTGGGTCCAGATTATTTGAGGAACCATCTCTCCCCAATCGACTGATCTGTCCTACCCGTCCTGGCAGAGGAGGCATGCTACAGGTCCTATCAGTCAAGGAATTTTGGCTGGCAGGGTCCAAGAAAAAGACCCTCTCTGTTGTGGGTCCTGCCCTTTGGAACATCTTATCCCCTGAGGTGAGATTGATTCCCACTCTTTTGACCTTCTGTAAGGGGCTAAAGAACTCGCTCTGCTAGATAGCTTGTGGCCCCAATGGGGGGGCATTACACTGGAGGTGGTTGATGAATTAAGAGGCAATCCTACCTCACTCTCCCACTCATCCTATTCTCTCCTTCCCCATCTTTTAATTAAAAAATTACCTTTGACTGTAATTCTATTTTTATCGTTTTAGAAATATATCTTTTACGATTTTAATGCTTTTAACGCTGTAAGGCTCCCAGAATCTCTTTGAAATATGATGGGAGGCAAATAAATCTAATAAGTAAAATAAATAAATATGATTAACAGAAAAACAACATTGGGAAGGACACGGAAGTATTCTAATCCAACCGCGTAATCAAGAAGGAGACCCTATGCCATTCCAGACAAATGGATGTCTAACCTAGGACTGCATTTTTATTTTTATTTTATTTTTTGGCAGTTGCAGCACACTGCTGGCTCATATTTAAATGGTTGTCCACTAAGACTCCTAGATTTCTCTCACAGTTAATAAGCCACATACCATCTATTCTATACCCAGGCATTTGTTTTTTCTTGGCTAAGTGTAAAACCTCACTTTTTTTACCACTGAATTGCTTTTGTTGGATAGGGCCAGCATTCAACACTGTCAAGATCCTACTAGTTCTTGAACTATCTTCTGAAGTGTTGGCTATTCCCCCCCCCCCCAGCTTGGGGTCATCTGCAAATTTGATGAGTTCCTCTTCTATCCCCTCATCTAAATTATTTATGAAGATGTTGAAGAGTACTGGACCCTTATAAGACAGAACCTTTGATACTCCACTCAATGTAGTTCTGCTAAGACATGTTGAGTGTGGTGGTCCAGCAGTTATACATTCATCTAGTGATGATATATAAGCCATTTTTTCTATCTTAGTAAGTAGTAGGTTATGGTCTACTTTATTGAATGTCTAATGAAGTCCAAGTACACTATGTCCACAGCATTTCACTGATCCACTAATTTAGTCACTCTTTCAAAGAATGCAATAAGATTTGTCTGGCATGATCTGTTTTTGACAAATCCATGTTGACTTCTAATAATAACTTTGCTTGCTTCTATGTGTTCACAGATTTGTTGATTAATTAACTTTTTCAGGATCTTTCCAGGTGTTAATGTCAGGCTGATTGGTCTGTAATTTCCTGGATCCACTTTTTCCCCTTTTTTGAAGATGGGAATCATGCCAGCTATTTTCAATCCTCTAATAGCTCCCCAGTGCTCCAGGATGTTTGAAAGATGTGGTTCAATGGTTCCAGGATCACGTCTACCATCTTGTTCAGAATTCTGAGCTGTAATCCATCTGGTTCTGGTGATTTGAATTTGTCTAGAGTGGATAGGTGTTAAATTGGGCTGTTTAAATTTGGACTGATTTATTGGTAAATTTTGTTGAGATAGGCTAAGAAATTTTACATTCCAGTCTTCTTGAATTCTGATTTTTAATTAGCAGCATTTTAGTTCCTGTCCTTTCCTCAGATGCAGCATAACCCCAGAGATTCAGATGACCTTTTGGCCTCAGTAAGGTCACAAAGACCTGGCCTTTCCCAGAATGAGGCTCTCTGTAATGATTGGAAATTGAATGACTATAGTTGGCATTAGTTACATTATATTTTCATTTGTGTTGTTTTTAACCTTGTTGGGTTTTGGTTCTGGCTGGTTCTATGTTAGTTGCTCAGATTTTCAGTTTGCAAGTTGAGCAATTATGTAAACTGATTAAATGAATAAACAAACAAATAAATAAACTGTAGCTTTCCAGAATGTTCAGTTCTTACTGTATGCTTAATTCTGTTCTCATAGCTTGTCACTGATATTATAAAACATTGCAGAGGAAATAGGATTTAGGAACTGAATGTAAAAAGCATGGAGTGCGAGGAGTTATATTTATAAGAAAGGCTGCAGTGAAACTAACTATGTTAAATGAGACTACAGTACTTATATAAATGGGAGACCTGTAGGGTGCAAAGCCTATAATTGCATTTAGCTGAATTAAATTGCAATTACCCTGTAGCACCTTTTTGGACAGCCATGGAAAAGTTAGAGCTTGATATTTCCTTAATGCTATCCTTTTTCAAGTGCTTGGAGAACATTAGCACATATCATTGCATCAAGATTACTTTTGTATTATTCTTCACATTTGCAGAAATGAATTGGTAATAGTATATTACTGCCTATGCATACTACACTCTTACTTGTAAGACAGTACAAAACATGCATTCATGTCATGAAATCCTGTATCTGTAAACATTTATGAAGTATATGTAGTATGTCCAATAACTTTACTGATGTAAAAGCATGTGCTGAGGTAGTGCCACATTAATTTAGAAAGAAAATTCCCTTCTATCCCTTTTGTCCCTTGGGTGAAAGTCAGGCTAGATCATAGGTGTCAAACTCGCCATGTCACATGACATGCCACGACGTATTGTGACATTTTTTGCATTGCCAGAGCTGGGGTGGGTGCGGTCTCCATATGATGCAACCAGCCAACGGGCGGCAGTTTGACACCCCTGGGCTAGATGCATACCTATAGCTAAATCCAAATAAGCTGTGTCCTTGCTCATTCTCCGTTATTAAGCACATTGCAAGCACAACTCACCAGTCAAAGTCTGCTTCTGTGCAAACACATGGCTCAGAGGACATGGCTCCAGCGTACTTGCCTTGCATGCATTTCTTTTCTGACTTACGCTTCTTGTACGTCCTTTTGGCTCCCATGATGCACGCTTCTCCCTGAGCAAAGAAAAGAAGGGGAGGGGGCTTGTAACTGAGTACCACGGTGATCAGGCATAATTTTGCAAATTACAAACAGTTGTGGTATACCAATGCAAGAAGAAACAGCGGGGACTTTCATATTTTTCTACTCTTGAGAACAAAGTTGCCACATATTCAGTGACCCAAAGACCACGGGGGGTAGGACTCTAATGGCAAAGAAATATGTGGGTGGAGGTAGTCCTCAGCCTACGGCCACAATTGGGGCTAGAATGTCTACCACAAATTAAGGCGAATATATGTGTCCCAGGATAATATTGCTGGATCCAATCTGGGTCGGTCACCAGGACCTCAGAGGTTTTGTCTTCCAAGCTTTTGGACTTGTGCTGGAGCCCCCATCCTCAGGGAACTTCTCTGTGTGCTCTGGGCTGTTCTGTGTGTAATATGGGTTGGTGATTGACCCAGATTGGATCCGGCTAAAATTTCTATTGCTACTCAAGGTGGTTGTTAAGTGAATTGTGTTCAATTTTACAACCTTTTTTGCCACAGCGAAGCTAATCCCTGCAGTTGTTAAGGGAATCTGGCTTTCCCCAGATTCCCTTATTGGAATATACTTTGCTTATTGGAAGCTGGCTGGCGAGGTCGCAAATATTGATATCCTGACCTCAGAATGCTTCAGCCATCATAAATACATGCCAATTGCCAAGCGCCCAAATTTTGATTCATGTGGACTGTGCAGACACTGCAGTGCTCATAAGTGCAATGATCCATTGTAAGTTACTCTTTTCAGTGCAATTATAACTTCAAACGGTTGCTAAATGAAGAGCTGCAAGTCAAGAACTTTCTACTATATATATGTATGACTAAGAGCAAAAAGTATAAGCCTGGATTTATTATTTTCTCATTCCCATATCAGATGAAAAAAAAAACAACCTCCCACCCACCTACTCCCTGGGATGAGACCCCTGGAATAAAACAAAATAAAAGAAACCAGATTTTAATAATTTCACCAAAATTGTATTAAATAAAAAGTAAGCTCCCTTTTTTTAAAGGCAGGCTCAATTTTTCAAGAGATGGCTGGGAGCTTTCTAATATCAAACAGTCATGAATGAGTCCACCCTGACGTCAAGCTCCAAGCTCAATACACTATCCAAACTATTTGTCCTCACCTGGTTATAAAGCTCCCAGCCATCTCTTATAAGATTGAGACTGCTTTTTTTCCTATTTCTGTAGCTTATTGGCTTTTAAAATAGGTGTGGAGAAATTCACCATTCAATTCAAAACAGTGAAGTATGAAGCCATTTTTTTCCCAATTTGTTTCAAATTTTACCTTTCACCATAAATGTTTACTAGTTGCAGGTAGAATGTATACCAAAGTGTTAAGAGGTACTGAATTCAATGATTTTGAAGCAATAAATTAGATTGATCCCAACTTTCTAATTATATTCACTTCAGTTTAATTCTAGGTCAGACTTTTTACCTGACTATGAAGCTGCCAAGGTTGATAATCATCTTCCACACACCGTCTATCAAAAATGGACTTGTAATCTACTTTTACCAACTGCCACTCAGAACGATGACTGAAGTGTCCAAAAACACTGAATAAAACATCGAAGGAGACAATTATTTAACAGATCGGTAAAATGAAAAGAATATAATTTTATACATATCTCCTTACAAGTTATGTCCTATAATAAAAAAGGACTTATCTAGTGTGTACAAGATTGTGACCTAAATCATAAAAAGCTTCTAATCTCTACTTGGTAATACATTCAAATTATAATAACAGCTTTCAAATGATATTGTAAATTACAGGTTTAATTATGAACATAGGTGGCCAGTAAATAGAGAGTGGGATTCATGAGAAGGAAGGAAGGAAAGAAGGAAGGAAGGAAGGAAGGAAGGAAGGAAGGAAGGAAGGAAGGAAGGAAGGAAGGAAGGAAGGAAAAAAGGAAGGAAGGAAACCAAAATACAAGTGTTATTTATTTATTTATTCATTTATTTACAATATTTATAAATTGCTGATTCCCAATATTATTGATGTAGATGGTGATTATTCTTTTGGAACTGGCTACATGAAGTCGAACAAACTGAAATTTCAGTAATCAAATATTATATAGCAATAATCAAAGCAGCGTAACTTTTCCATCAACATTACACATAAATACCCATCCACGCATATCCATGCACACAGCTCTTTATTAACAGGAATTAATGGATAAACATTCAGCTACATAGTATTTGCTGAAAAATTAAGCATTATGTTATGTACCATAGATCAACTACAATCTACTTTGGTGCTTCATCTCACACATGCAAGTTGTTCTAGTTCAATATGGTTAAAGTTAAAGACAGGAGAGAATTGCTGGAACAGGCTATTTTATTTTACAGACCGGGCTTATATGCATGTAATCCTCAATACATGGTAAAGCAGTGACATGCTTTGCTGATTAGAAGAAAGGCACTCCTTTCCTTCTTTCCATGTCCATATCTGAAGGGGTCCTTTGCTTGAATCTACACCAAACCCCCACCACCACCATTTTAAGGATCTGCAAAAAATCACTAAAGAGTGCTTTTTTTGTAAAAAAAAAAAAAAAAAAAAAAAGGTGCCAGAACTCACACACGTCATACAACCTGCCGTGCCTACCCTACAAGGTTTACCTTTGTAGTTGAAAAAAAAAATCCTTCAAATTTTAGAGTATCTAAAAGACTAGGATTTTGTTCAAGGCAACTCTGGAAAATCTGTTGAAAAAAAGTGCCGGAACTCCATTCCGGTGTGTTCTATAACAAAAAAAGCCCTGAATAGAATCATATTGAAGTAATCAGTGTAACACTCCATATTCTATGTATATTCCTAGATGACAAATGATATTTCATCTACTAGATTTTCTATATTTAATAATAGAATGGATCCTTATATTATTTCATAGGAGATATTAATAATGTCTACTCACGTCATTATTAAAGTCTCTTCTCCAGGCTCTCCCAAAACCCCATCAACAAAAAGAGGGATGGAAGTAAAACTGTACTTGTTCCAAGATCTGCCCTCATCAAAACTTAACCTGGTGATAACAAGACAAAGCAAAACAGTAACAGAAGAAAGAAAAATAATCTCTTAGTATATGATAACAAATAGTATTATAAATTCCATAGCTTTTCATAACAGATTACAGAAAACTGCAATGTTCCTAAAACATTACAGTAAAGAAAAGAATAATAGAGCAAAGCTGTTTTAAGGACACACAATTTCCCAAGGAACTATTTATTCCTATGTGTTATTTTGTGTAATGTTCACATATTAAAGTGGCATGTATTTTTGTTCAGAAAAACAAAATACAGGTAGTCCTCGAGTTACAACAGTTCAATTAGTGACCATTTGAACTTACAACAGCACTGAAAAATGTGACATGACTGTTTTTCACAGTTACGGCCTTTGCAGCATCTCCATGGTCATGTGACCAAAATTCAGATGCTTGGCAACTAGTTCATATTTATGACTGTGCTGTGTCCCAAGGTCATGTGATCACCTTTTGTGACCTTCTGGCAAGCAAAGTCAATGAGGAAGCCAGATTCACTTAACAACTGGGTTATTAATTGCAGGAATTCACTTAACAACTGTGGCAATAAAATGGGGCAAAACTCACTAAACAAATATCTCACTTAACAGCAGAAATTTTGGGCTCATTTGTGGTCATAAGTCAATGTAGATAATGTAAGTTTTTGGTTGTTGAATTATAGCTCCCAAGATCCCTCATGATATGTGGGCTTTGGAGAACTCTAATTCAGCAGTAGGAGTCACCATTGGAGGACATGAATATCATGCGTTAATTGTAAAATGTGGAATTGTAAAGTAAACTAGAAGTATAATAACAGATGTCAAAGGGGATAGGGGAAGGTTTCTTCGCCTAAAATGTCTTTAATATAAAAACAGATTTAAACTAAGATAAGAAACCCACTCTATATGTATCTTTATAAATCATAGCTGCTACAATAAAGGAGGTCAATAAATGTTCAGAACTGTATGAATAAATACTGACAGTATCACAGAATTAGAACTACAACTGCTCTTACACCTAGTAACTGTGGATGTAACTACCCACTTGAGATCCTGTCACATTGGGTACATGGCAAATCATAAATAGTAAAACTGTATATTTCACTAATGATTTCAAAGAGATGTTCTTGAAAGTATGGGAAAGCAAACACAGCATCTCTTTAAAGAAGATTTTTTTTTTTTTTAAGACTGCCCCATGTTAGAAATACACAGTATAGGAACAAAATAAGGTCAGTTGTATTGATATTAAAATATGCTCTTCTGCATAGAATCTGCACTTTTTTGTTATATTTGTCCTTGGTTACTACTTTTTTTTTTTTTTTAAAGCATTTGTTTTTCCCCAGTGTGAGTATTTACACCATGTTCCTTCTTGAGTCTCTTATTGTAATTTGTTTTCTTATTCTTCTGTTTCAATAGAGTTTAACCTTCAATGTTTTTTATATCTTTCTAAACTGCAGCTAAATTTTCAGCTAAAACAAAACAATGCAACTTCTTAATACTAATGTAGATTGTACTATTGCCCTGCAAGTGTTTTGTTTGTCAAAAATTGTATGTACAAAATGCAGATATAGTTTTATTGGGATGAAAAGAGGCAACATGCTCATTTGTTTAATTGGCAAATCCTGGCACTTAGTAAAAAGTTTGGCCACAATCCAACTACTAATGGCATATAATGCACACTGAAGGACGCTATGATGAATGGAATTAGAAAGTTACATTAATTACCAGAGATGTCTGATAGGCAGAGATGTATGATTCATAGCAACCAAAACCCCACCTTGGTCCAGATAAAGAACACTGTGTTCATCTTCAAAGATCTAGTGAGACACATAAAAAGATATATGGAGTCCTTTGTATGTAGAACGAAGGGCTGACAGGTTTCTTTTGTAATAAATAAGTATATAACTACTTAATGTCCTATTAAGTGGTTATATACTATTAATGTCCTCTCCCCCAATAAACTATATTCTTAGGAATGAGAACAATCAAGATTTTATTTCACTGTTTAGAAAAAAGAGGGAGGGAGGGAGGGAGGGAGGAGGAAGGAAGGAAGGAAGGAAGGAAGGAAGGAAGGAAGGAAGGAAGGAAGGAAGGAAGGAAGGAAGGAAAGAAGGAGGGAGGGAGCTTGGTCATCTGCAGAATGAAAGTCTTCATCTACAGCAGTGGTTCTCAACCTGTGGGTCGGGACCCCATTTGGGGTCGAATGATCATTTCACGGGGGTCACCAAACCATGCTGTCCGCCATTTTTTTCCCTTTTCCCTAGCTGTCCTACTCCCTCTTATTGGTGGCCACACTCACTTGGAGGTCACCACAACATGGGGAGCTGTATTATGGGGTCACGGCATTAGAAAGGTTGAGAATCACTGATCTACAGGTATATAACTGTATACATGGTGAGAATATCAGATAACATGTTACCTGAATAGGATTAATGATAACAATTTATTCAAAAGAAAAGGTTACAGTTGTTGAACAATGACACTAATCATTATTAATTCTTCTTTTACTAATTATTCAGTGGTGCCTTATCTGCAGCTTTCCAAGCCAAACACAAACAGTAAAATATAAATGCATACATTTTTCATGTTTACAGCATATAAACTTTCTTAGATGAAAATTTTAATTACATAAAGAAAATGTTCTAAATTCCAACATTTGTATACTTTGCTAACTGTAGCTCTAATAGGCATTCATTTGACTAGAAATGTGGGATATAAATCAAATAAATAAATACTGCAGATTTAACTACCACAAAAAATAGAATGGAAAGACAGTCCATTGCTCTTGGGAAACAAATTGGTTCCTCTGAGAAGTAGAGAATAGGTGGAGCCTGAACTAGAACCTCAAATGTTCACCTGAAAAGTTTGCCCAAGAAATGGAGGTTCTCATCACATTCCTAGAAAGATAGTCTTGCTCTACATTTGGAAGCACAAAACACATCTATTTCTGATTAATTTAGATCAACCTAATCACAGTGACAAATATCTTGTTTACTTTTAGATCAGATTAATGCAATCTATGTGGCATGAAGTGTGTTGCAAATTTCAGTTAGTGAACAACCTATCCTCAAGAATATTTTTCTCCAGACCAATCTAAAATTAGTTAACTACCATTTTTTTTGAAACCCATTCTGGCTGGTTTCAGTTTTAAAATCCTAAAAACTTAAGAAATATTATTTCTCCTGTACTTGCAGGATAGTCAGTTTGAGGACATATTTTCTCTTCCACCACCAAAAGAAGTTTGGTGGGAATGTTAGATGTTCCTAAAATAAATCTTGCTAGATCTCAATCCAATTTTGTGCAGGACCATATTTTTTTTTAGATATACTACACACTTTTTAATTGGTACCATAAACACATCTGCATTTATATTTAGAGATCTGTAGGCAGAACTCCCAATGTTTTATGTCTAAGAGATTCAATAAGTATTAATAGAGCACTTACTCTTTGCTTTGTTAATTCTCTTAAGTATGTACTTGATTCCAGTTTATGGGGTGATAATTGCATATTAACTAAATGCAAAGTACTTGCTAAAACTTATTAAGTGATATAGAAGAGTCATGCATATTGTTGTCCATATTATTATCTAGAGGTCTTTAAATGCTTATACTTAGTTAATGGATATGGAGTTAATTTGAGAAGTAGGAAAGCAAGGCAAAAACAAAACATTTTATTTAGTAATTTGTATTCTTAGTTTTGTGTAAGAGATTGTAGTTATATCCATGTCAGTGGATATAAATATAGGCTATTCTGAAATTTAATCTACCTGAAACACATGTAAACTTTTAAGACATGAACCAAAGTAATGTTCTTATGTATTGGTTTTATTGTTGTTTATTTCTTGTTCTTATCAATAAAAGGTTCACTAAAGATGAGAAGGCATTCCTGGCAGTTAGACTTGTTTTATGTCTAGTTGTATTTTGCTATTTATGGAAGATTAACATCAACAGCATATCATAGCTTTTCAAGCATGTACACGGAACTTTAGATTTTGCAGCAATAATTAAAGTTATAAAAAATCACATACATTACTTCATTTAATTATATTTAACAATATTTATTGAACAAACACCCATTGAAATAAAGCATACCAATGGGAAATCTTAACTGAATGCCTTTATCTCGACTCTGGAGACATATCTCCATTGTCTTTCTACCAGACAACAACTTTCTTTCTCTTAATCACAGCCTTCATTTCCACTTCTCTCATACATCTAGCCTCCCAGCAATTACTGTCCTAGAATAGAAATGAGAACAAGCTTTCCTTAATTCCCCTTTCTCATTCCACATACAGTTAGTAGAAAGCTGCCTTCATCTCTTTGTTCCTCAGAGACTTTTCTATCTAGGATCACCTATGTAACTATTTCAGATCTACTTTCTATAATTCTTTATTCTCTCCGCTTTAAGACCAAGGCTCAAGATTCCTGTGGCTGCAGGAATCTCCTTTCACTCCTCCCACTTTTTAAGCTATGTTTGTTTTCTATAGCCAGTGGGAAAAAGATTTAGTTAACTACCCCCCATCCGTTTTGTTGTCACCAGGCATTTTTTAGCAGCAAAATAATCTCCTTCTTGTTCATTGAAATTTTGAGTTTTGGGTGCCTGAGTGAAATAAGGGAAGGTGAAAGCATGTATTTGAGTGCATCAGGCTTGCTCATTCACTACAACATCATTTTTCAAATGCTTTGGCAACCGGGGAGTTAAGTTAGTATAACTTTAACTATAAGTGAGAATGCACAGCATAATAGCATATAAATGATGAACTGCATTTTCCTCTTGTCATAAAACAATGGGAGCAGGATTAAACAAAAGGGAAAAGAAAGACAATGAATTACACTAACTACTGGGGTACCACAGTACCTGCTGAAGAATATTATGCAGGATGAAAATATGTTAGTCTTCCAATAACATATAATATCTATAATGGTAGCATTTATAATTGTGCACAAAAGGGACAAATGCCCTAAATTGAGATTGTAGATTGAACTTCTTACATATGGGAAGAATGAGCATTTAAAATGTACTTGTCAGACCCTTTTGCTTAGGTTCCCATTGGAAGGTAAAAAGTAATTAAGATAGGCTGCCATTCAGGGTTCTTCCTTCAGCCTACATCTTAAAGCATAAAAAGGACGATGATTTAAAAATGATAAAGAAATCAATAAATTTTATGCTAGCTCAAGGGGTAACTATGATGGGATGAGCTCCCTTTTTAAGCCAATAATTTAAGCAAACCATTAATTATATAAACAGGTCTATCAGAAATGGGGAATACATGAAAACAATGGAAGCCAACATTCAAGTACACAAAATTCGAACTAAATATAATCACCATAGATATATTAGTTACTTACTATCTCTTGGCCTGAAATCAACACATGTTCAAAGTTCACTGCAGAGAGGATAGCTGGGGAAGGGGGAGTTATTTGCTCCCAGTCCACATTACCCTCAGTTTTATGAGGACTGGAATGTACAGGATAATAGAAAATTAGCCTCTTTATGGAGATGAACAGTTGTTTTGCCCAATCAAGCAAAATGCTCCAATAAACTTTTCCTTGTAGGTATTTCACTGTATTCTCTTTCCCCAGTTGACCACTTATTGTTTCCATTGCTACTCACTTGTCTCCAAATGTTTCCAGCATCAGACGAAACAAACATGCTGATATCATTTTCTGACAACTCTGATCCAATGTTACCTGTAAGGAAAGTACCCCGACCTATAAAACTTAAATGTAAAGAAAACTGAAATCTTTGTGCTTTTAGTAATATATGTTGTGTTAAACAGTGATGATGTATTTTATTATAAAACAGCAAATGTAACAATGATAATTCATCAATAAAGATATTTCTGTGGATATCATATATAGTATTATTTCATATATATTCTTTAGTCAATAATGTTGCAATTCTTGCACCAACCTTATAAAATAAGGTAAGGCAAGTGTTGTCCTTTAGATCTGGGGTCCCCAACCCCCAGTCTTTGGACCAGTACCGGGAACACAGCATGCCAGCCACCGGTCTGTACAAACAAGCAAAACCCCATCCATGGGATTCAGGCAGCACAAAAAACCATGTCTCCTCCGGTCTCTGGAAAAGCCTCTGTCCACATAACCAGTCCTTGTGCTCAAAAAGGTTGGGGACCTCTGCTTTAGATTATGGCAAGACTGAATTTTATAGCTAGCAGCCAACAAGAAAGGGTGTCACAAAAACAAATATTTCCCACCTCTTTTGTTATGTTTTATTAAGTCAATTTTGTTACCTTCCTTGTTTTGCTGACAGAAGATGAGACACACTCAAGCCAAACTCAAGAGTTCATGAAAAAAAAAGAGATTTGAAATAGATATTCTTGGCTGCAACTATTACTTCATGTCACCTTTGAACCACAAGTTGAAAAATTGAACTTTTATTTCCCACTTAAACAGCAATAAGAAATTGTAGACTTTTGTTATATAGCACTGGAGCATTTCTCACCAGAGGCCACGATGATGCCTGGAGCTGTATCACGACTGGCAATGTTACCAGAGGTGTAAGGATTCTCAGAAACCTTCAGGTGGAGATGAAGAGAGCAATATGGCTTGGAAGAAAACAAACAAGGAGATGTCAACAAGCACTGCAAAGAATACTGCACAGCATAGCATAGATCTTGAAAAAGTTATTGATACAGCTACAGTACTTTTATTATAATGCAAATGTTTTTATACAATTGCATTCATTTCCAAGTGACAAAAAGACCTTGGGAAAGAATCCACAATCCATAATATTCAAAAGCATCTGACCACCAGATATTAATCACACGACAGGACCGCTTTCCCTTCCCATTCACATATGTCTATGGTCTTCCTTAGTCTATTTGGCTGCAACTTCTGAAATGTAGTATAATACAATAGAAATGGACCAAAAGTAGCATCCTTGTTAAAACAGATGTCTCCAACTTAGGTTTAGTTAAAATCAAGAAATCACAATTCTTAATTATATTACCACTTTAAGGATTTATCTACTGTGTGCATGAGAAGGAACTTGAAAAGAAGCATTTGTGCCAACTAGTTTTTGGCAAAAAAAGGTTGCTTAGATTATCAGAATCACTCTCCTTCCCATTAATTTTATCTTCACAGAAAACACATGTGATACTTGAGATTGAGGTTGAAAGAAAATGCAAAGTTTTTGATGGGTTTTTTTTTTTTAAAAAAAAAAAGTCAGAAGTAGGTGAAGAGGGCTAAATAAGGAGCCTCCAGCAGAGAGAATGGAATTGAACATGAAAGTGAAGAAATGATTTAGGATGAAACTGAAGTGATGGAATGCTGGTAGGAGCTTTTAGATATCTGTACTTGAATGACAGCAATATGTCAAGACCAGAATTCAAATGAATGTTCTAAATGTTAATGTTCAAGAAAATGAATGATGAAAAGGAAATCATAAATACTGTGAAAATGTTGAAAAATGGTAAGGCTGCTGTAAGTACAGAAACATTACAATATGGATGTGGTTTCTTTGTAGAATAGTTGTATGGCTTGTTTAATGTGATGAAGACTGCACCTATGCTTAATGTTTGGAATACTGCTGTATTTTTCTCCCCTATAGGTATGTGAAGTGGTTTGGAGCAAAATTTAGAAGTGCAGTGCAGCTTTATATCAAGCAGGGATGCACAGACGAGAACTTTCTTCTTCAGGAATGTATTAAGAAATGTATGACAGTGTGGGATAAAGGTTATTTGCACATGTTGATTATTGTAAGTGAATTGGCTTGAATTAGAAACTGTTTTCTATGACCATGGAGTTGAAAGTTCCGGAATGCAATTGGAATGGTATAAGAGGAAAATAAAGCCCACATTACTATGGAATGTATAGTAAATAATTCAGCTTTGAGCAAATCCCACTGATTGTCAAATGAATAAGGAGTATTTAGGTGTCATTACATGTAATTGGTAAGGAAATGATTGTGCATGTAGATTTGTATGGAGATGATATCATGTTATTGGCTGAGAAGCTGATCATTTTCAGTGAGTGTCAAACCACATAATGGAGTGAGGAATATGGACCTGAAAATTAATAAATCAAAAACCAAGAGATATATTTCAGCTTAAAAAGAGTGAACTGCACTTTATTTTCATATGGTGGAAAATTAGAGGAAATAGATTGTCATGTATTTTCATCGCATGCTTACCAAAGATAGTGAAATGGAGAAATGTTAATATGTGCAGTTGAGAATACAAAGGTATTAGATAATATATGGTCTGTTGCAAGGACTGAATGTTAGTTGAAAGAAGCAAACAGGACAGTATAACAGCATGTTTCTGCTCACTTTGTAACATGGAAGTGAATGTTAAGATAGGTCAGGAGAAACATGAAAGTACACCGGATGCATTGGGAATAGGGTAAATAAGAAGTGAATAAAACAAGAAGACACAGGTGAATGTGCTGAATGAATGCCGGCTGAACAAAAAAAAGTGAATGACCAATATTAGCACATTAAATAGTTTAGTCATATGGAGAGATTTCATGAAAACTGAATAGCAAAAGAAATATAGGACGATGGATGGGTTAAGAGGAAGGGGAAAAGTGAGAAAAAATTGTAATTGTAAAAATGAGTTCTCACAAAGTAAAGATTATAATTAAAGATAATGTATACACTGAATGAAGTTAGTTTGCAAAAATAGAACATTATAGAGAGTGTCAATATTATTTCTCTAAATTAGTTTTGGCTAATTTATTGCATTTTTTTATATCATGGGTTTCATCAGTTTGGTTTACTATTTCTCATTACCTTTCTGTAGTTTTCATAATATTTCTTCTCCTAAGATAAATATTATAATGGGTATGCATATATGAATGTAGATTGAAAGCCAGTTTGTTTTATGGCTGAGTTGGGATTTGCCCCTTAACTTTCCAGTTTATTCAAATGCCATAATTTCATTTTCTCAGAGGTTGTTTTTACTAAGTGATAGCAATAAGTCAAAATTTACAGTCCATTGTGATAAATTCAAGAGAGGGGAAAGCCTGCTGAAGATATTCCATATTTGTGTGTTCGTTGGAGGGGGCTTGCTTATTTGGGGGAAGCTGATTCTTTTTTGCTCCATTTGATTTATTTATTTACACAAATTGTCTCAAAAATGACTCTGGAAGTTGTACAAAGACTGAAAGCAAAAAATAAAAATAAACAGCTTTGTTCATAAAACCAAATACATAAATCATACTATTACACGTGGCTAAGATTAAAAGAAAACAAAACCCATTCCCTTTCAAACCATGAAGAAAGAGGGGCTCTATTAACCTCCTGGCCCAAAAGCCTGCAGGAACATTCAGTTCTTTAATGATTTTCAAAAAGCCAAGAGTGCCAGACTCATCCAGATATCCAGGGGGATGCTGTTCTAGAGGGCGGGCCAGGAAAGGCCATTAATTAGATCAAAGGTAATCTATCCAATACTAGAATTGGAATTAAATTAAATAGATACACTTTAATATTCACAGAAATCATTCCTTCAAAATAGCTTTTTTTAAAGGAATCTTATTTTACTCCTCTCAACATTGAATATGTTTATATTATTACATTAAGTATATATTTGTATTTGATATATATATATATATATATATATATATATATATATATATATATATCAAATACAAACATACTTATTCTTTATATGACATAAATATTAAGCATGATTTATGACATTTCGTTGTGTGGATGTTGGCTGTAACTCCTCGAGTAAAAAAAAGGCACTAGCTACCCAATCCAACTCCAGGAGTTACATAAAGTCCATTTTCTCTAATATTTACAGTATATATCAGAAAGACATTTTTCCATTATTTTATTCATTTTTATTTTTATAAAGTGACCACAAAAGCATTGTATGAATTCTCTTTCTCTCACTTCTGCACATACACATCATATGGCTTTGTAAGAGGTGGACTGCAACAATAAAAAGAAGGCAAAGGGACTACCCATTCTCCAGTAAGTATTTTTATTTCTCACAAGATCTCAGACAAATCCTTCTAGGGAAGAGGGAATTGTCTTGGAATTTGGGAGCCAGCCAGGAAAAAGGAGAAAGTCGACAATGACTTTTTCCAAGGTTGATATATCTCTTCCAAGTTCATCCTCATTAACATACTATGTCACGTTAGAGCATTTGTTCAGGACACATATTGTTATGACCTCTTTAAAGGAAAGCATCAAGGTCCAGCTGTCAGTCTTTCCAAGGGAAAAAATTGCCTGAACACATTACCTAAAAGAAGTGCTGTGATCAGGTCCATTTACCATTCATTTGACAGGAGAGAGTTAGAAAACTGACAACAAAGCAGTGTTTATTTGTATGTCTTTGAGAGAGGAAAGAGCAAACTAATTAGAGTATATCTGAGTGAGTAATTTGTGGTGGAAATTAAAAGATGGACTTCTCATTGTTTGATTCCTTTTCAGAAAGGATCCAACCCATGCTATTGAAATAAATTCACATAATGTGACTGGCAGCCAACATTTCCACTGTGATATACTGTATGAATTAGACAAATGATATTATGTTAGGCAAGCAAATTACTTTTCCTCAAATACACTTTTCAAGTCAAAAATAAACTACCAGCTATATGTTAATGTTAATTTGAGCATTAAAAAGATAATAAACCACTGGGCATCAAGGATACTTAGAAGAAAGCAATATCCTAACAGAAATGTTCTTAGACTCCTTGTTTAACTTAAGAATGCTATTATGTTCAGCGCTATTACTTTACTCACTGTACATACGTGGACATTAACATGAATATGTCATATCAATTTCAAGGAACTGCTATACTGATTAAATATATACTGTAATTTGCATAAGTCCATCAAACACTTCCTCTACCCTTTTTGGGTTTATCTTGTTGTTTTTGGTACAAAAATAAACCAAGTTCTGTTTCAGTATAACTGAGGGCTGCTCTCTGTCCCTAAATAAAGTAGGAATTATTTAAAAAAAAGAAACAAACCATAATTCAGAAGATAAACTCTGTACAAGTAGTCCTCGACTTACGGCCACAATTGAGTCCAAAATTTCTATTGCTAAATGAAACACTTGTTAAGTGAATTTTGCCATATTTTATGGCCTTTCTTGCCACAGTTGTTAAGTGAATCTGTTACTAAGTAATATGGTTGTGAATTGACTTCCCCATTGTTAAGTGAATCTGACTTCCCCATTGACTTTGCTTGTAACAAGGTCACAAAATGTGATCACACGACCCTGGGAAACTGCAACTATCATAAATATGAGACAGTTGCCAAACATCCTAATTCTGATCACATGACCATGGGGATGCTGCAACGGTAGTAAGCATGAAAAACAGTCATAAGTCACTTTTTTCAATGCCATTGTAATGTTGAATGGTCACTAAATGAAGTCAGGACTACCTGTGTGACTTTTCAAAAAACACTGTTCAAAACCCCAAGTACAATTCTGCTGTAAAGCCCAAGAAAGCAGCTAAATTTTCAATTATTTTCTGAATGTTATGAAGGTGGGATCCAAATGGATTTCTGGAGAGATGCTATTCCAGGGAACAGGAATTGTAACAGAAAAGATATATTTCCTGGGTTCCAATAAATAACACTATTTTATGAAGGGGACAATTTATCCTGATGATACTATCTGCACTCAGTTCCATGGCCAACCACCAAAAATTAATATAACAAGCCTATTTGCTTAGACAAATGGCTCATTTCTTGCACCCTTATTGCTCTGATTCATAATACCTAGTCTGTGTGGTCCAAAGACTCAGTTGTTCAAAGTTGTTAAAGAATAAATATTTCTTTTTCAGTGAAAAGAAAAATAACTTTATTTCTATCTATAATCTGAATAATACGAAGAGGGTTTTCCCTTCCCTCATGACTCTAAACCACGGCTTTTCAACCAGTGGTACGGGTACCACCTGTGGTACATTGGCACCTGGTAGGTGGTACGCGACCATCCTAGAAAAGTGGCAGTGGGGGAGGGGAATGAGCTGAACTGGTGGCAGCACCGCACAAGCCTGAGCGAGAGATGGCTGGAGCTGCAGGGCTGTCAGGGCTCAGCAGAAGCGCCAGGATCAGCGCTTCTTCGAGGGTGTCAGGACTCAGTGGAAGCGCCAGGATCAGTGCCAGGCTCCAGCTGGGCCCAGAAGAAGCACCGATCAGCTGGAATGTTGCAGCATCTCCAGGGTCTTGTGATTTACATTAAGATGTTTGGAAACTGATTCATATTTATGATGGTCACAGTGTCCCAGGGTCATGTGAAGTGACCAAAACCTGCTTCAACCACCCAGAAGATGGGGGGTGGAATAAAAACCAAACACCTCACCCCACCCCCACTGCCAATCCTCAACAGAAATGCTCACAACAATGAAAACCCCAGACAGGAAGAAGAGCGCCACCGGGAGGGCAGGCAGATGTCTTGCTCGGCTGTGGCTTGGGAGGCACTTTTTTCAGTGCCATTGTAACTTCGAACAATCACTAAGTAAACTTTGTAAGTCGAGGTCTACCTGTACTTTATCACTTTTTTTCTTTTTTGGGGGGTCATCAAGTTTTTGACACCTTGCTAGATGACTGGTGGTACTCAGATGTTGCCATATCCTAAAAGTGGTACAATGGATGAAAAGGTTGAAAAGCCCTGCCCTAAACCATCACTTACTAGGAAGCAATGAATTGGGTTCCCTCTAAATGTTCAAGAATAGAAATTTCTTTTTCAGTGAAAAGAAAAATAATTTCATTTCCTCTCAAAAAATTTAAAAAGTTGCCTTTAAAAAAAAACCTCTATGAAAAAATTAGGGAGAAAGAGGCTATGTCACTGTATAATAAGATGAGGGTTTCCCCATCCCTCATGCCCACAAACCATCACTTACTAGGAGGCAATGAACTGGATTCCCTCTCAGATCTGTGTCCGGGGCCTGCAGCAAATGCCAGTCTCTGCCTTTGTTGTAGGTGATGAAAGTTTTTACTTGGTTGTCAATCTTCTTGTTAGCCAAGAACATTCCCTTTATCCCTGCTACCTAGGAGAAATTGACATGGCTGAAAAACAAGATAAATTTGACACAAATTGTGTGTGCATTGGTACCTGTCAAATCTAGCTTTAGAAATAGCATACAGAATGAATATGTAGCAGACTCAGAGGTGAATATTGCATCAAAGGATTTCTTACTTACCAGAGGTTGGGAAAAATAAGATGGAAACTACTGTGGATTCAGACTGGCTAGAGAAGAGGACGTTGCAGGGTTGAACATAAAAAAAAATGTATATTTTAATAAGGTGACTGGGTCAAAAGCAGTCATAATCATCTGAGTTTTATTTGAGATTGAAGATGGTAAAGAAGTGTGTGTTTCTTTGAACATAAATTCTACACCTTCATCTAAATCATGTTCACCTGTGTTTGGGTAGACAGGATTATCTGCATGTGTGTCTGGTCTGTGTGTGTCTCTGTATTTCTGTGTGTGCATTTAAAAACTCTTTGGGAATAGGGAAAGCATCAGCTCCTTTGAAGAATAAAATATTATGCACTTCGCAGAGAAACCATTTATTGATTTGACTATTATACGATACTAATTCCAATCTTAGATAAAAGTTTAGATGGTATACGGTAATTGCAGCAGTTGCAGAGTAGATACAGATGTTTCTTGTTCTTTTTTAGTTGTGGCTCAGGCCTTGCAATGGGCAGAAACCAGACTGTCATTTTGATAGATCACCTTTCTCAAAGCCATGCAGTAGAGAGATCAGCTCTCTTGATCCTATTAGACATCTCAGCAATGGTTTGATACTATCAATACGATTGTTCTGGGCTATCTGGAGGGTTGCAAGTAGAGGTGACACTATTCTGCAATGGTTTCACTCCATTATGAATGGATGGGTAGTTGGGGTTGCTGTACAAGGAGTCAAGTCACTAAATACTAAAGTAAACCCTAATGGAAATACTGGCTTCATATCTGCTGCTATTTTAGCTCTAGGTGGGGTCACTCTCTTTTAGAAGAAACAGGTTCCTGACTTGAGGGGTCTTCTGCTCTCATGGGTGTTGCTTGACAGTTGGAGTCAGGGAAACTTTGTTCTATTGTCTCCGAATACAATTCAAGATGCAAATTAAATCTAAACAGTTTTATATGGCTTATATGGTTGTCCAGTTTCAATTAATTGTAGCTATTTATGGAATAGAGAGCCCTGGAAACAAAAACTCATAACTCATCATCTTGAGATTGATTTACTGTAATATTCTTTTATTTGTTTTGAAGTTGAACTGGAAACTGAAGTCGATACAATTTATTTGCTTGAACGTGATAGTCCCTATATGCTTTCAGTCATATATTATGAGTTTTGGAGGTGTTACATTGTTCCAAATACAAATCTAGGTGTAAATTAAATCTAAACACTTTTATATGGTTCCTGGTTACTTTTATGATCATCTCCTTTTGGCTAATTTGCTGGAACGTTTCAATTCTATATCCCAACATTTACTCCAACAGGAAAGAGTCTTTGCTCTGGCTACCCCATCCCTATAGAATTGTCTTTCCCCCTTAGTCAAGGCTACCCTAATTTGTTATTTTTCAGAAGGCAGTAAAGGCAATGTTATTTCAATATTTAAACTGCTTGGTTGCTCAATTTGTAAATTTGAAGGTGAGAGAGCTTTATTATTTGCTTTTTTTCTCATTTTGATGTTAATTTACTTTTAACCAGTTTTTATAAACTTGTTTTTGTGGTTTGATGGTGCATATTATTTGTTTTATTGTAAAATAATTTTCACCAAATTGAAAGATCTGGTAGAAAAAAACAGTAGAATCTTTCCGCATAGCATTATTATTTTGTTTAATAGATTCTTCTAATACTTCCTTCATAATTTTTTTAATCTTCTTTAAAATAACTGAATATAAGGCACCATAGCCAGGGCCACGCTTCCTTTTACTTTATTTTGTTTGATCAAGAATTGTTAAACTATCATCAAGTCTTGTACAGTAATTCTGATTAATGCAAAGGAAAGAAAAGCAAATGACACTATTTTTATTCCTTCAGAAATGATACCAAAATGATTGATGATAATTTTTCACAATCTCTTATTTTCTTGTTTTGTTGGATTAAAATTTCCATAATTCCAAAGGAAGCCCAGAAGGTACAGGTTAAGGGAAATGATCCACAAATTTTAGGAACAATTCCTAAGAATAAAAGCAGAGAGGATAAGAAGGAAGAAATGAAAAACAACTTTCATTCATCGGAAAATCTTGACTTTGTCTATGTGCTAAAAATTAATATTCCAATATTAAGAAAAATTAATTGTGTGTGTGTAAACGAAGAAAGAATGCAGTAATATCTAAAAAAGCAATGCAAAGGAATCGAGGACATGAGTTGCAGAAAAAAGTGGAAGATATATTTAAGAAAATTATAGAAATCAAGAGAATATTTTTCACAAAGATGGATCTAGTAAAAGACTAAAAAGGCAAGAGAGAAAGAAGGTCACAAACATGTGGGAAACTATACCAAAAAAAACAAAACAAAACCCTAAATCACTTATGCATATAAAGATATATTGATCAATGTAGAACCGTAACTTTTAGCAAATAAAGTTAAATGTGCCTCAGAAAGTATTGTCAATAACAATAATCATTGAATAGATAAAATATAAGCAGAACTGCTTAAAATCTTACAAGCTGATGCTCTTAAAATACTGTTTGCAGTTTTTAGATAAATATGGAAAACACAGCAGTAGTTGCAGGACTGAAAAATGTTAATTTATATTCCAATCTAAAAAAATATGCAGCGCTAAAGAATAATCCAGCCACCAAATAATTGCACATAGTTCTCAACCTTGAAAAATAATGCCCCAAATGTTGTAATCTGGACTTCAACAGCACATGGAATAAGAACTACTAAAGGTGCAACCTGGTTTCAGAAGCAAAGGAATCCAGGATTATATTTCAACCAGCTTACGGATAATGGAAAAGCCAAGAAAGTTTTTGCCTTAAGGCAACTACATGATCAAATTGTGAACAGCCTTTAAACACTTCGGTGTGCTGAACTACTGAACTGAAAATTGAAGAAACTGTATGTTGATTAAGAAGCAATAGTTAGAATGGAATAAGGGAGATCTAACTGGCTCAAAGAGGAAATAGGGATGTGATAAGAATTGAATACTGTCATATATTGTTTAATTTAATACATCATATATCATAAAAATGTTGAAGTAAAAGAAATATGATTTGTAAAAAAAATACAACAACCTGAGATATTCTGATGATACACTTAAGTGGGGAAGACTTAAAGAATCACTTGTTGAAGCTTTTATATAGATGAAGAAACAATAAAACTAATAACAAACATTCTTTTCTTGGTTCCAAAATCTGGAGAGATAGTGACTTAACATGGATCAAGAAAACTTGGCCTAGAGACTGTGACAAATCTAAGCAAAATTATAACATTGCCAAGAAAGTTACAGATTATTAATGAACTGGTCTTCTTGGTCATCAAATGATTGTAAAATCTGTATCATTTTAAAAAATGAATGAACAAAATCAGTGCCTCTGAATTATCGTGCTGGATAAAATTGTTATGAGTACCTTGATTAGTAAAGAGGAACATGTCATTCAATGACAGATTTAAAAAAGACAGCTCATGAAAGCACTGATAGTAAAGTATTTTGTATATATAATGAGGAAGCAATTCTAAGACTTTTGAGAAAGTCTTGGAACTTGGAAAAATTGATGGCAATAAAAAAAGAGATCAACAGGACCCCTAAAGCCTTGATACCATTACTGATATCATGAGCATGAGAAGAAGTCATTTACTGAAATACAATTCTGGAATACTATTGTCCATTACATCACAAAGAGATGGAAGTGACTAAATGATTGAGCAATAATTATGAGTAAACATTATGACTGGAAAACAGATCCATGAGTATCTTGAATATAGCAAATACATACTTTAGTGCGAAAAATAAAAAGAATCCAATGTTATACTGTATATAAACACTTATTTTTTTTAAAAAAATAACTTTCTTTGTTAATAGTTAATAGGGTAGACTAAATCAAAATGTTTTAAATAAAAAAGACCTCTTTACATATGAGTGATATCTAAAGTGAGTATATGGAAGGCAGAGTCCTGTACAATGGCACCACTTCCTGCATCTTTGCAAATTCAAGTATACTTTTCCTTTAGATCTTCTGGATAAAAGTAAGAACTTGAGCGAGGACAAGGGCAGATACAAGGAACAAATGTAGTGAGCAATGCCAGTATGCTTAGCCCCATCTGTAACAAACATCCTCAAGTAGTTTTTGGGTATGCCTCCAAGTAGCTCTTTCAAGTATGTGAATAGTTAAAAAGCAGCACTCCTACCCAAATGTGCCTCTTTGTAAAGGAGATAGAATCAATTCAAAGGAATGGAGAGTTATAAATCAGAATATTCAGCCAAATAGTCAACAGATAGTCAAAGAGAAAAATGTAAAGAATGCAATGCAGAAAACCTTTGGGGTTCTTTTTTAGGCCAATATAGCAAAAATTAGATTCCAGTTCTGAAAATGAAAATAAAACCTGAGCAAAGAACACAATTTGACCCAGGTCCTGCAATTCACTCATTCATGAACTCAAGAGATATTTGTTTTGAAAAATACACCATGCCAAAAACACACACACACAAAAAAAAACATTCTTCTCCTTCTCCTTCTTTTTCTGCCAACATTCTAACTTTCCAACCCAGAGTTACTGTGTGTCAGTTGGGCAGATATATATATTTGTTTAATAAGTAAACAAATAAATCTATCTATCCATATAGGCCTTTATATTTCTTATTCATATACTTATTTCCTATCTCTACTTTTATCAACTGTTTTTTTCCCCTCCTCTTACCTGGTCGTTCTTTTCATTTACTCTTAAACACTCATCATTCATAGCAATCCTAGCAATTGGCCAGAACAATCAGAGTGAAGGAAATGGTTTCTGCCAAGTTCAATGTCAGCCAATATTCCTTCTATCTAGGCAATCAACAGATGCGACATGACTAGTCTGATCACATCAATTTCAATCCAGACTGCTATGAATGCCAGCCTAATAAAACAGAGGTTTTCTTTCGATCTTTCCTTTTCTTCTCCCTCTCTCCCGCTGATTTATAAGACACCTTTACATAATGCAGTGGAACCACTCCTTAATCTGATGGTAATAGAAGACAACAGCTTTTCAACAACTTGCCAAAGCATTCAGGGGATTAATATATTGTGAAAGAAATTTTCTTCACTGTAGTCAAGAAATGCCCTGCTTATTCACCCAACTCTCGTCTGTTTTTAAGCACTGACCTTTAAGGCTTTCTCCAGGTTTTCTGAGTGTGCTTACTATTTATAGATGCTCTAAATAGGATGTCAAGACAATCAGTCCACCAAAATCTCTTTAATGTTCACAAAGTATGGAAGAGAGATGTAGACCCTATCCTCTTAAATACTAGATTGGTGGGGAAAGTGCAATGAGTCTTTATTGTGTACGTAGGTGACTTCGGGTACAGCTTTTCTTAGAAAAAATTCTGGGTGACTTCTACTGTGTCTGAATTATAAAACATGGTCCCATGCTCAGTTAGACCCATGCCAGTACCTCATGTGCATGTGAGAAGAGAATCAGTGTATTTATGCAACAAGGTAGGTAGTAACTGTATATGCTTGTGTGAATGTGCTTATGCATATGCACATACATTTCTGACCCAACACTCATCATCACATGAAAGCATTGCCCATTTCTGTCTTAAGGTGAAGACATTTCGTAAGTGGATAGAAATTACTCCTATGTAATTCTACCTATTTAAAGGCTGCCTGTATTCAGCAGTTAAATGCAACTGATTGGAATGTGCTTTTTTCTATCCTAGAGGTGAAGATAGAGGTGAGTGCTGATGGAACCAGGTTATCTATATATGTACAAATCAACACCAGAACTATAATTGTGCCTGATATCCAGCATTGATATATAATACTGATTGCAAAGATGAATGTAACTCTGGAGAAATATTATTTTTGTCTGTTCTTTCATCACCCAGAGATTACATTCCACATCCAATTAAACTTTCAATTACAGATCAAGGACATTCCAACCTTAGCTAATGATGTTCACGAAATGAAAATATGCACTGTTTTCACATACCTCATACAGGTCTATCATCACATTGCCTTCTAGGTCTCGACTACTTTTGACATTTTCTAAAGCCAGGGTAAAATAAATCCCCTGGGTATCAGAGATGTAAAGGTTGTATGTATCATTCTGGTTCCATTCTTGAACTGCAGCAAACACTTGATTCTCATCAGTGCTGATAACATGCATGTCCTGAGGGAGAAAGCACGGAAAGACATTATTGTTGGCATTTCATTTGTCACTGTTCCAAGGACAAGGCTGGCTAATCCTCTAGAAGCCAAACTCTGAATCATTGCGGAATCTAATCAGAAATCCAAACCAATTTACTTGCATGCACATATCCATATTTTACAGATTCTTTGTTCTGCTAATATATGCAGTTATAATGAAATGAAATCACATTAAGTGAGCATTTACATTAGTCATTGTGTTGTACAGCAGTAATGAAAATGAGTGTATTTGTTACATGAAATGTCGAATTTTGCAGTTAAGACTCTTGTTGCATTATGGATGGGGATTTTCAAAACATTTCCAATCTATTGTAGTTAAAGATGAGAGTAAATTACAGTCTTCATAAACTTGATGTTGCTTTACACCACAGTTGTGGAATTTAACTGTAGTACATTTCATTTAATTTCCTATACTACTGTAACTCATAAATATTCTTTTTTAAAAAGTTCCTAAGAACTTCACAGTGTGGCATTATCTTGTTATCAACAAAATATAAATCTATGTTCTCCATTTTTAATTAGTCCCTATCTGCTTTGTGCACATATGTATATACATATCTTTTTTTTAATTTCAACAACCATGTCTCTGACAGACAGTACTGTGTATCTCTGTGCTGTGATTGAATATTTGAAGGATTACCAATATAGTCTGTTGCAAAGAGATAGAGAATAGAACTTATCAGAAGATGAGCGAAAAACATCAGGCATAGGTCATACTACTCAAGACTCTGAATGTGATCAAAGAAAATAGTAGTAGTAGTAGTAGTAATCAGAAAGAGCAGATGAAAATCTGCTTAGCCTTAATGAGTGCAGGCAATGTACATTCTGCACTTGGCTGAGTTTGTGCTCAGAAGTTAACTCGGGCTAAATCTGATTTGTAACCAGATGGGAATCCAGCAGAATGGAAACTCCTTCCCAAATGCTTGTCACCTACTTGGGGGGGGGGGGGCAGGGCTTACTGACAGGTGCTGGTGATGAGATTAATTTTACTTGCAAGTTTCTGATTCCATGGTTAATCCATGGGATCAAAGAGCTGCTGGATAAACAATTGTCTCCCTTCTTCTCTTGCCACCTTTCAATACCTCTTATCCTGGGAATGTCTGTCAGAACTGATAATAAAAGTGGAGAGAGAAGTTTCTTTCTTCTTGAAATCTCACAATCCCATGGAGCAGCTTTGGATGATTAGAGATAGTACAGAGGAACAGTCCTGTTTGAAAGAATCAGAGTCTCCTATTGCCAAATGCAGAATGGGCCCTGAAATTATTGAACTGAGAAGGGGGATATGTCCTTAGCAGCCTAAAAGGGTTAATGAAATCTGGCCAATTACCAGACCCTGACCACATCACTGACTATATCAGGGAGGCATCGTAAATAATCAGAATTGGATTAAACAATATTATAATCAGCCCTGACTCTTTGTTAATATTATCTTATATTTGACTTCCGGTGGTTCCAGCGACCACGAATGGCGGCGTTTTACAAAGCCGCCCGTTCCTGGTGCGTGTAAAAGCCGCGGGACTTTAACAATCAGCTGTCCCGCGGCTTGAATCTCCTCCCTGGGAAAAAGGGAGGAGGAGAGCTCTCAGGTAGAGGTAAGAGCTCCCCTGGATCCCTGTTATTTTGGGGATCGGAGGGTAGAGCTCCCTCGGAGCCTGAGCAACTCCGCGTTCCAGGGAGACTTCATTCCGAAGCTTTTGGGATGAAGCAAGTTGCCGCTTCCACATCTGCTTTTTTTTCCAGCTGCTTGTGAGTATTTGAAAGCAGACGGAGCAGACCAGGAGAGACTGTGCTCAAGTTTGATGTAAAACCTGGATACAGATTAACTCTTTAAATACAGAAGTAAGAATTTGGCTTTTATTCTTTCCTCTTTTTTTCTATTTTTTTTCTCTTTTTTTAAGAATACTTAAAAGAACTGTGCCCTTTTTTCTTTTCAATAAGAATCTTTCTTCTTGGAACTTAAGAAAATGGCTTCAAAACGTCTGCCTCCCGCCCCTAAGGTTCCTATTTCTTCTCCAATGCCTCAACCTGCATCTCAGAAACCAAAATCACCTCCACCTTCTCCTCCTCCTCCTGCAATTTCTCTTAATGATTTACAAGATGCTTTAAAACAGCATGCCTTGGATATTAAGGAGGAGGTAAAAGATCTTATAATTGCAGAGAGGGCTAATACAGAAGAATTATTGGAGAAAAAGAACAAACAAGTAAGAGACCATATCCTTCTGGCCTTTCAGGGCTTAGCCCTGCACATAGAAAGGATTGATGACCAGATGGAAAAGATTACTGAAAATGCATCAAGGATGGAATTTAGAATGCAGGAGGTAGAGAACAAGATAGAAATTACATAGGATGAACAAATCATTTCACAATATAGGGAGATGGAACACGCATTGCATATCAGAGGCCTGAGGGAGAACCCTCAGGAAGACTTAAAGATGCTTATTGTGAAAGATATTGCTCCTAATATTGGCTGGCGGCCTGAAATAATTGAGAATGAGATAGAAAAAATTTTTAGAGTTAATTCACGGGTTGCTAGACAGAGAAATCTACCAAGAGATGTGGTTATTTATTTTTCTAGAAGATCTATCCGTAATGAAATTATACAGGCTTTTTACAAACAAAAGTTTCAAATTGCTGATCAAGACGTGATAATTTTAAAAGAGATACCTCCAAAAATTTTAAGAGCCAGAAAAGATTTTACTTTCTTGTCTGATGAGTTGAAACATCGTCAAATTCAGTTCAGATGGGAGATTCCAAGAGGAATAATAGTAAATTATGAAGGGATACGTCACAGATTAACTACTGTTTCCAAAGCAAGAGATTTTTATCAGTCTATCTTAAAAGCAAGATTGTCACCACCTCCACAAATAAGGATGACGGAAGAGTCTCTTATGGCAGGAGCCTCATCAATGATGGTTATGGAACAAGCTGCACCGAATTCTGACATAAAAGAGCAAAGGATGACACGAGCTGCCCATAAACGTAAAGAAAAAGAGCAGTTGCAGAAGAGTGGTGAAAGTTTGGTTGTTACAGAGCCTGTGGGAGGGGCAAGACCAAAAAGATCTTCGACAGCAGATCTGCAGGCCATGCTCCAGAGGCTCCAGGCCGGTGGAGATGGTCAGGTTCCTGACCTGGAATGTTAATGGCTTAAACGTGCCCCAGAAACGAAGAAAGATTTTCCATTATTTGAAACAACATAATAATGATTTGATATGTTTGCAGGAAACTCATATAACTTTAAAGGATTCTAAATTCTTGATGAATTCCCGTCTGGGCACACATTTTACTGCTCCAGCCCCTGGGAAAAAAGGGGGAGTGGTAATTTATGTGAAGAAAACTTTTTCAGCTAAACTAATTGAGGCTGATTCTGAAGGAAGATATCTTTTTGTGGAATTATTATTACAAGGCCGAAAGGTTCTTATTGTTGGACTATATGCTCCCAATCAACAACAGAAACAATTTTATAAGTTGCTGCATGGCAAGATATCTCAGTTGGATTATAAATCGGTAATTTTGATGGGTGACTGGAATGGGGTTTTAGACCCAACTATAGACAAAAGAAGTTCCTCTAAAACTTTTATTCAAACTAAACTACCTATGACTTTCTTTGATTTGAAGGAAGAACTGGAGCTTATTGATATTTGGCGAGAAAGGAATACAAGTGATAGAGACTTTACCTTTTATTCTGATAGACACCAGTCATTTTCAAGGATTGATTTTTTTTTGATTACTAGTGACTTCCTCCCTAGAGTGAGGAAGGTGAAAATTTTTCCTAGAACATTGTCAGATCATAGTCCGGTGTGGATGGAGTTATATTCGGAAGACGGGAATAGAAGATCCTGGAGATTGAATGAGAACTTATTTAATCGGGAGGAGTTCGTACAAAAGTGTAAAGAACATTTAAAGGACTTTTTTACTATAAATATGAATAAGGGAACATCGATGTCTATGGTGTGGGACACTAGTAAAGCATATATGAGGGGAATTTTGATTCAATTGAATAAAGTTTTTAGGGAAAAAGGGTCACAAAGACGTAGAGAAATAGAAGAAGAGATCAAATCAAAAGAACAAGAGTTGGTTCTTAACCCTACTGATAATAATTTAAAGGTATCTATAAAGATGCTTAAGGAACAATTTAACATGTTGATGGCAGATCAGGTGGCTACCAATCTGTCGTACATGAGACATAATACTTTTTGCAATGCGAATAAGCCTGGGAGGTGGTTGGCTTATCAGTTACGAAAGAAACAGAAAGCTAGAATTATAGAGAAAGTAAAATATAAAGGTACTGAGGTTTTTCAGCAAGATTTGATTAGAAAAAGCTTTTTGGACTTTTACACAAAATTATATTCAAGTGATAATATAAGGGGTTTGGATATAGATAAATATTTACAATCAGTACATTTTCCTAGACTTTCAGAGGAACAACAAAATGGGATGAATAGTTTAATTACTGTGGAGGAAATTGGTTTAGCTATTAAGCAGTTAAAGGTTGGAAAGTCTCCTGGAACAGATGGACTGACTTCTAGGTATTATAAGATTTATCTGAAGAAATGATAGAGCCATTAAAGGAACTCTTTAATAGTATTTTGTTGGGTATGCAAGTTCCTCCTTCTTGGAAAAGAGCCTTTATATCACTGATTCCGAAGGAAGATCAGGATCTTACAGAGCCTAAGAATTATAGGCCAATTTCATTATTGAATGTTGATTATAAGATCTTTACAAAAATTTTGGCAAATAGATTAATGCAGGTTATGAAAGACTTGATTCATAGTGATCAAGCAGGATTTATAACAGGGAGATATATGAAACATAATGTTAGACAAATTATTAACTTAATTGAGTACTTGGATAAGAATAATCAGATTCCTGTGGCTTTTATCTTTTTGGACGCTGAAAAAGCTTTTGATCAATTGGACTGCCAATTTTTATTTTCTTTGGTAGAGAAAATGAATTTTGGGGATA